TTTTTAAAGTGTTAAGGCCAGCCAGGTCTACATGGTGAGTGAGACCAAATTTAAAAAAAAAAACAAGTCATAAACTAGGCATGATGGTATACACCAGTAACCTCAGCACTTACTCTAGAGGCTGAGGCAGGAGGATTGCTATGGGCATGCTGGTGCATATTTGTAGTCCAAGTACTTGGGAGGCAGAGGCAGGTGGACCTACGTAGTGAGTTCCAGGCCAGCTGGGACTACAAGGAGACCCTGTCTCAAAAAAAAGACCAAAAAGGGGGGGCGGGGCATGGGAGGGAATAGATACAAATTAAGATACAAATTAAACTGAGGAAGAGAGGGGGGAACAGAGGGAGGGAGGGAGGAAGGATGAACCCTAATATTAGACGAGGAAAGAGAAGCAGGATGTCCCTGGAAGGAGGCAGGACTGTCACAGCACCTGGTTCATAGAGCCACTGACACCTAGACCCCTCTACAGAGCAAGGAATAGCATGCCAGCTCCCTAGAGCCACAGCCACAAGATCCCCAGCTGTAGACACACACCCTGACTGGGAATTCTGTCACAAAGAAGTGTGGGAACCCAGGCAATCATTTACCTAGATGTAACCCTATATAGTCAGACCTGTTGTCACCAAGACACACCCTGAGAAAATAGTGGCACCAGCCAGAACATACTGAACAAAGGCAAAGGACGCTGACTGGCACCTGTGACACGCCACAGGAATCTGGGAAGAACCATTCTTAGAAACACCCTTAGCCAGATCTGGTGGTGTGTGAGGCAAAAGGAAAGGTGGTTCAAAACCTATATTGTGGGGGCTGGAGGGATGGCTCAGTGGTTAAGAGCACTGGGGTTGCAGAGAACCCCAGTTAGGTTCCTAGCACCCACATGGTGGCTAACAACCATCAGTAACTCCAGTTCCAGGGGATCTTCTTGCCCTCAGGCATTGTACACACAGGTATACCTACATACATCATACACATAAAACAGACGAAGCAGGGCTCAGCAGTTAAGAACACTGGCTATTCTTGCAGAAGACCTGGGTTCATATCCCAGCACCCACATGGCAGCTAACAACTGTCTGTAACTCCAATTTTAGGGGATCCGACAGCCTCTTCTGTCCTCCGTGGGTATTGCATGACACTGGTGCACTTACCTACATGCAGGCAGAACACACATATACATAAAAGTAATAAATAAAATATTTTTAAAAAAAAGACCGGGTGTGGTGGCGCACGCCTTTAATCCCAGTACTTGGGAGGCAGAGGCAGCCGGATCTTTGTAAGTTCAAGGCCAGCCTGGTCTACATAGTGAGTTCCAGGACAGCTGGGGCAAAAAGACAAAGCAGTCACACACATAAACAAATCAAACCTACGTGGGCTACAGACTAAGACCATATCTCAAAAAGTAAGTAAAAATGTAGGCATGTGACTCAGCGGTAGAGTGCTTGCTTAAAATCCACTAGTAAGGGGCAGGAGTATGACTCAGTGGTAGAGCACCTGCCCAGAATCCCCCAGTGAGGGGCTGGGATGTGGCTCAGTGGTAGAACACCTGCCTAGAATCCCCCAGTGAGGGGCTGGGATGTGGCTCAGCAGTAGAGTGTTTGCCTTGCATATTGGAAGCCTTAAATTAGATTCTGAGTACCACAAAAGAAAAAAAAGAAAAAAAGAAGAAGAAGAGGAAAGAGATGCCCTGTATTCACCACAGAGTTCTCTCATGCAAATACCTCTGGAACAGTGACCCCACCAGCAGGGGCTGAGCCCCTCAGAAAACAACCAGTGGCATAGAGAGAAAGTGAAAGACATAGCCTTGTCTGACTCACTCTTCCTTAAAACAGACATCCTTGCCAACACCCCTAATTCTCTAGGTACCCCGAACTGATGTCTCCACCCACATTCAAGAGGCTTTATTTATGCACATTTAGGAGACTCAGCCCAGGTGTGTAACCTGTAGAATACAGGCACAGTCTCCTCTCTCTCTCTCTCTCTCTCTCTCTCTCTCTCTCTCTCTCTCTCTCCCCCTTTTCTCTCTCTCCATAAGATTGTTTTTGCTGTGTTTCTAAAAAATGCTCTTGAGATTTTTTTTTTTTAGAGCGATTGCATTATCAGCCCAGGTAGTTTTGTTGTTAGTATAAAGAAATGTCTGAAGCAGGTTGCTTTATAATGAAAAAAGCTTTTTTTCTAGCTCAGGAACTTGGTAGTGCATAGCCACAGGGCTTCATTGGGTAAAAGTCTTATTTTTTTTTTATTAATTCATTTTTTTATGTGTATGAGTGTATAGGCTGCATCTATGTAAGTACACCCATGTCATGCAATACCCACAGAGGTCAGAAGAGGGCATTGGTTCCCTAGACTTGGTGTTACAGATGGTTGTTAGCTGCCATGTGCTGGGAATCTAACCCAAGTTCTCTGGAAAAGTAGCCAGTGCTATTAACTGCTGAGCCATCTCTCCATCCTGGAGTAGCAGCCTTCTTGCTGACCCCTTGAGGCAGCACAGGGCATCACTGGGCAAGAGATGGGGAGTATATAGATATAGCTATATAGACATATAGATATATAGATTCCTGTCTTTTTTTTTTTTTTTTTTTGAGACAGACTGTGCATATGTAGCCCAGGCTGCCTCCAGCTCTGAATCCTCCTGCCTTAGCCTTTCATTGCTGAACTTAAAAGTATGTGCCACTGTACCTGGCTTAGGCCCAGCCATGCTTAATGAACAGTCCACCACACACATGGATACCCCCTAACCCTAGGTGCACATCAAAAGAAACCCTGGGATGTCCACCCCCAAAGAAAAACTGCAATGTGAAAGACACCCCCAGCTCCTCAAAGATAGCCACAAATCCACCATAGTCATTGCTATCTTCGAAAAACACAAGCCCAAAGATGGGACACCAGTAGAATTGGGGACACACTCAGCACCCTGGAAATCCAGTGGCTGGGCCAGGCAAGGTGGTGCACTCTCATAATCCCAACACTGAGGAGGCAGAGGCAAGAGGAGCTCCTTGAGCTGGAGGGTAGTTTGGTCTAAATAGCAAATTCTAGGCAAGCCATACCAAAGGAAGGAAGAAGGAGGGAGGGAGGGATGGAGGGAGGGGGAGGGAATCCAGTCACAGGTAGTTGGAGTACCAACAGTCACTTGCCCACCCCAGGAATCACTCACAGTTTCTTGACTCTAGTTCTGGCTCAAAGCCTCCTTCCCAGGCAGACTCTTCGTTCCCACACTCTATTACACTCTCACAAGGACATGGTTTGGGGTTTTCAGCAGCTCCAACATAAGTGGACAGACATAGACACTCTCTGCCTTAGGGCATATGTCTCTGCAGGACTGCTCAGAACCTTTGACCCATGGACACAGGGAGAGGCTCCACCCTGAAGCTCAAAAGTCCCTCCTCCACATTGGGGAGCACCCCCCTATTTCATTGTGAAGAAGAATGCAGGGCTTACTAACCAGCACTCCTAGGACAGGCTGTGTCTCTGCCTCCACCCATCGCTTAGACAGACCTATGATGTCTTTTTAGGGACCTGGGCAGATGCATAGATGCTGACATAGGATAGTGTTGTATTTCCATAGGACCTGCCCACATCCTCCCATGGACTTATTTTTTATGCATATGAGCATTTTGCCTACATGTATGTTAAGTGCACTCATGTTGTGCAATGCCTACAGAGGCCAGAAGAGGTCATCAGATCCCCTGGACCTGGAGTTAAGGTTGTTAGCCACCATGTGGGTGCTGGGAACTGAACTCAGGTACTCCACAAGAGCAGCTAGTCCTGTTAACTGCTGAGCCATCCCTCCAGCCCCTATTTTATTATTTCATTTATGTATTTTTCTTTTGGGAGGAAAGGATCTTATTCTGTAGCCATGACAATCCTCCTGCCTCAGCCTCCCATGTGCTTAGCTTACAGGCATCTGCCACCATGCACAGTTTTCCTACAGACTTATAGATGGCCTCTTTTTTTTCCCTTTGTGTAGACCAGGTTGGCCTCAATCTCACAGAGATCCACCTGCCTCTGCCTCCTGAGTGCTGGGATTAAAGGCATGTGCCACTGTGTCTGGCTTGGATTGCCTCTTGATGGCATGTAATAATGAATACAATGCAAGCATTATGCAAATAGCAGCTATACTGTGTTGTTCGGGACTAAAATGTGGTATATGTTTAGTAGAGACAGATTATAGATGCTGGATTTAATCTGGATGTTTGGTAACTGGCATGTGGAGGATCAACTGTTACAGTCCCACCTCTAAAGATTTCCTGTTTCCTTTTCAATGCTATTTGCAGGTCATTAAATTCTTTCCACAGCCTATTGGGTCGTGATCTCCTATTTTTGGGGGTTTTTTTTGGTCTTTTTGAGACAGGCTCTTCCTGTAGCCCCAGCTGGCCTGAAACTCACTATGTAGACCAGGCTGGCCTTGAACTCACAGAGATCCTCCAGCCTGTGCCCCGGAAACGCTGGGATTAAACACTGAGCCATTTTTTTTTT